ACCGCCTGCCAGCCAATGCTTCTCCGGAGCGCAAGACGGAACTGCGGCGGGAGCTGGCCCGCTGCCTGAAGGTGGCGCGGGAGATGCATAGTCTGCGGACCGATGCGCTCTACCGCCTCTCGTTGGCCCAGCACCTGCGGCACCGTGTCTTCTGGCTGCCTCACAACATGGACTTCCGAGGACGCACCTACCCCTGCCCACCCCATTTCAACCACCTGGGCAGTGACCTGGCACGCGCCCTGCTGGAGTTTGCCCAGGGCCGACCTCTTGGCCCCCATGGCCTTAACTGGCTCAAGATTCACTTGGTCAACCTTACCGGGCTCAAGAAGCGTGAGTCACTGCAGGCACGCCTGGCCTTTGCTGATGAGATAATGGACGACATCCTGGACTCAGCTGACCAGCCCATGACGGTAGGGGCAGCCTCCTCTCTCTGTATCTTGGCCTGTCCTCACTCTGCTCCAGCCACCTCAGCACCCGCCTAGGACACCCTCTAGGCCAGAATCAATAACCCCAGCCCCCCGAGTCTTCCCCTTGGGACAGACCTTTTTTTCTGGGCTTTTCCTTTGCCCCAGTCCACCGTCCTCCTCCCACTCTGTGGTAGCCTCTTCCCATCCCCATCTCATGGCTGCTCACTCAGGGCTGGGCCCAGGCTCCCTCCGTGTCCATCACTCCTGTCCTCACCTGCTGTCCCAGAGGCTCTGTCTCAGCCTCCTTGTGTCCTCACATCACCAGGGCCAGCCCAGCTCCCATCCTTGCTCAGGAAGCCCCATCCCACTGACCCCAACCCAGCCTCACCCAGCACACTGTCCTGCAGGGCCGGAAGTGGTGGATGGAGGCAGATGAGCCCTGGCAAGCCCTGGCCTGCTGCATGGAGATTGCTAAGGCTGTGCGTGCCCCCAACCCTGCCGCTTACGTCTCCCATTTCCCCGTTCACCAGGTGAGTTGGTAGGGACCCTGGTGTGGAGGGGGACTACCCAAAGCTGTCTTGAGTCTGAAGTTCCGCAGGACAGTGTAGGCATCTAGCTGGTGTCTTTGTGTGGGGGCCAGCCTCAGTGGGTCCACCGGGGCTTGTACTGTGGCCTCATGCAGGCACATTCCCTGTTTCATGTGCCTTAGTTTCCCCTTTGTGGTGGGTTAACAACACCTGCCCCTAAGAATTGGGGTCCAGCAAGCTGGCAATACGAGCAGAGTGCTGGGGGAGCACAGAGCTGTGGTTCATTGCCAAGGATGCTCCTGCCAGCCCTGCCCAGACCCCTCACCATCTCCTCCTCACCCAGGATGGCTCCTGTAACGGCCTGCAACACTATGCTGCCCTGGGCCGGGACAGCGTGGGGGCTGCCTCTGTCAACCTGGTGCCCTCAGACGTGCCACAGGATGTGTACAGCAGCGTAGCAGCACAGGTGGGCACCATGGCCCCCTAACCTGTTCTCATCCCCAAAGCCTACCTGCGGTCTGTCCTGTGAATACTTGTGTGTTGCCAACCCCATGGCCTCTCCTGTTGTATGTGATGTGACTGGGCAGTCAGGGTAGGCTTCCCAGGGGAGGTGTCAGAGGGGGAACTGTGAGGCCAACAGAGAAGGGACCTCATGGGGGTGCTGCTGGTAGGGTGGGTGGGCCCAGACAGGGAGGCAGGCAGAGGGTCCTGGGGTCTACCTACTGACTGCCAGCACCTGCCCAGGTGGAGGTGTTCCGCAGGCAGGACGCTGAGCGGGGAGTGCAGGTGGCCACGGTTTTGGAGGGCTTCATCAGCCGCAAGGTGGTCAAGCAGACGGTGATGACCGTGGTGTACGGGGTCACCCGCTACGGGGGCCGCCTGCAGATCGAGAAGCGCCTCCGGGAGCTCAGCGACTTCCCCCAGGTGTGCAGTTTTACCCCACATCCAGCCTGCAGCTTCCCCTGCTGGGCAATTGGCTGCTGGGCAGCAGGCAGCTCTGAGGAGGGGCATGTTTCCCCGCCCTGTGAGGGGAGGGGGGAGGAGGAAGGGTCCAGAGGAGCAAGCTATCTTCTTGGGCCCTCAGGCCTTGGTTTCTACACCTGAAAAATGGGGGTGTGGACTTCAGGTATCTGGGACAGCCTTGTGAGATCCCCTGGCCCTGGGCTGTGGAGTAGGCAAAGAGGATGCCCCTCCCTCCAAGCTTGCCCCACCACTTCTGTGCCCTGCCGTCCCCAGGAGTTTGTGTGGCAGGCCTCTCACTACCTTGTGCGCCAGGTGTTCAACAGTCTCCAGGAAATGTTCTCAAGCACTCGGGCCATCCAGGTATGTCCTCCTCCTCTTCCTCCTCCTCCTCCTCCCCTTCCCAGGGTGGCTTCCCAGACTGGGCCCCACACTGAGCCTGTGCCCATCCCTGCAGCGCTGGCTGACGGAGAGTGCCCGGCTCATTGCTCGATCCGGCTTGGCTGTGGAGTGGGTCACCCCCCTGGGTATCCCCATCATTCAGCCCTATCACCACGACTCCAAGGTGTCGGTATGTATGGCCCCCACCTCCATGCCTAACCCCACCTGCACCCCAGTTGCCAGGGCAGGCCTCATGCTCCATTCTCCTTCCACCCCCATCCCACAGATCAGTGGAGGGATCCAGAGTCTCACCTTCTGCAGCAGTGGGGACACCAACCAGTGAGTACAGGGGGCGGTTAGCTGGACTGAGAGGCAGCTGGGTGAGGACTGGGGGGCGGGGGTGCTGACCAGGGTAGAGGTACTGGGTCCTCCACCTGAGCAGACCCCAACCCCACACATAGGAAGCCCAACACACTGAAGCAGAAGAATGGTTTCCCACCCAACTTCATCCACTCCCTGGACTCCTCACACATGATGCTTACAGCCCTGCACTGTTACAGGTAGGCCCTACATCTGCACAGCACACATTCATTAACCACTTGCAGGCAGGCCTGGTGCTGGGGACATGGGGGAGACCCTTAGAGTGTGGGAGACAGGTTGTGAAGCCATTCCTGCAGGTGGGAGTTGGGGCAGAGACCTACAGCAGGCGGGGAACCCAGCCCTGTGAGTCTGTTGGGCCTGGTGCCCAGAAGATCATTGTGCAAGCATGTGCATGGCCCTGGGGCAGTGAGGTCTAAGTGAGGGGGGAGTGTGGGGCCATGGAGGGAAGGGGTAGTTCCTCTGAGTGTAAAGCTGGCCCTGGAGGTCCCTGTGACCCCGTCCACCCAGGTGAGTGCAGCCACACACTGCATGGCGAGGTCTAGGGGCTTGCGTTGTCATGTCAGGTGCATGGGCCTTGTGGCTGCTGCAGAGCTTCTGGTTTCCTGCCCTGAGCCCCTCAGAGACGGTGAACCTGTGGTAATGGGGCAGGTGTGTGGACAGTTCTGTTAGAAATGACCATTAAAGCCTTGGCCGGCATGGCTCGTTTGTAGCATCATCCCATGCACATACCTGGGTTGCAGGTTCGATCCCCCATAGGGATGCATGTGTGAGGCAGTTGATTGATATTTCCTTCTCTCTCTCTCCACCCCTTCCTCCCCCTCTTCCCTCTCTAAAATCCATTTTTTTTAAAATTGGAGGGTTGGCTGGGCTGAGCTTAGGGGTCAAGGGCAAATTCTGTGCTCCCGTCTTTCCCCTGTGCATGATGAGGCCCCGTGGTGGGTGATGGTGCTGGGGGACAGCACTCTGGGCTCAGCAGGGAGCTGAGAGTCAACCAGGCCGCAGCTGGGAGCCGGGTGAAGAGGATGGGGAGCAGAGTCCCATTCTGAGATGAGAACTTATCTGTATGCTGAGGGGACAGTTGCAGGAATGGGGGGGGGGTGCGAGAGGAGAGAAGAGGGTGGTGGTACATCACTGGACTGAGCCCCCCAGACCAGTGTTCAGGAGTTGGCCCCGCCTCACGGAAGCCCCTCCTCTGCTGCAGGAAGGGCCTGACCTTTGTCTCCGTGCACGACTGTTTCTGGACCCACGCAGCTGACGTCGCCATCATGAATCAGGTGCCTGCCAGGTCCCACCTGCCCAAGAATGGACACCCTGGTCCCATGGCTCACTCCATGTGGGACCTTGAGCCCACAAAGCTTCCGCCTGGCTTTTGGTCCCAGTGCCCATGCAGGTGTTGGGGCAGGGGGTGGTGACCCCTTCCCTCAGGCCCTTGTTCCCAGGTCCTGAAGCACCCCCTCATCCCCCAAGGTGTGCCGTGAGCAGTTCGTTCGCCTGCACAGCCAGCCCATCCTGCACGACCTGTCCAGGTTCTTGGTGGAGCGGTACTGCTCTGGCCCCAGGTGAGACATCCCCACCCCCTGTACTTTCCACTCTCCCTCACCCCCCATCCTTCCTGGACCTCACTCTCCACTCTCTCCGCTTCAGGTCCACCAATGCCCAAGTTGTCAAGTTGCAGGAAATGCTACTGTCAGTACCCAAGACAGGTAGGGCCATGGGCAGGGGGGGATGTCCCAATTGCCGGCTGGGGGCTGGGCCTTTCTAGTCCATCCCAGGACCAGGGTTCACGGTCTTCCTGCTCTGTTCTGCAGGGACCTTCGACCTGGACCAGGTAAAGCACTCAACGTACTTCTTCAGCTGATGCAGGCCCACCGGGCGGTCCCTGGGGCCCTCTGTACCATAGTGTAAATAAAGCTCTGTTGCTACCTAGGGGAGCGCTGCCTTCTGCAGGGAGAGGGTGTGTGCTGCCTGCCATCTGTGGGCTCCCGGCAAGCAGATGCGGGCAGGCTGGGCGCCAATGCTGTCGTTTATTGCGCGGAATGGGGGTGTGGAGGTTAGTGGGGCCTGGGGGGTGTGGTGGGAGCATTGCTGCCTCGGCTAGTCAGTACATTCATCACAAAGGCGGGGAATCCCCAGCCTTGCCCCCACACCCAGGTGTAGCCAGGACTGCCGACCCCTGGGCGCTGGGTGCTGGAGGGTGCTGCGTGTGCCCACTCCAGGGAGGTCACCGCGGGGCGCGCATGGACAGGGGCGGGGCCGGTTATTGCGTGAGTGCGATGTGGGCAGCAGGGAAGCCAGCAGGCCAAGTATTGCACTTAAACAGAATCCTCATCGGACAGCGGGCCAGCTACGAGGGTGGGGGTGGGCGGAAGTCCACAGCTATCTCCTTTCGGCCATGGGGTGGCTCCCTCCCTGTTTCACAGTTGGGGAAACTGAGGCACCGAGGTGAAGGGAGCCCCCTCACATGCCTGTGAGGCTACCACCGGGATGCGGGGGCAATGTGGGTGGGCGCAGGGTGATGAGGGGGGACGGCAGGGGCCCGTCCGTCCGACTACAACTACCTACGTCTCCTCTATGGCTTCTGGGGTGGGTGGCCGGGGCAGCGCAATGGCATGGCTTTGGTTTGGATGAAGGCCCCGCCCCTGGCCCACCCGGGCCCGTGGGGCGGTGCAGCGAGGGTCACAAGTTGGACGAAAGGCG